ACTGAATTCTGCGAGCAACGGCTGGTGGGCATAGCCGGTCTGGCGTTTGTTCATATTTCGACTTAGGTTTCATGTTTTAGCTACACACACAATCGCGTTATGCACTTACCCTTAGACCGATCTAGCCTGCTCTCCCAAGCATTTGTGTAGGTGCTCGTGAAGGTCGCGGCTCGAATCCGTCGAGGGATTCGACGAGGGCTTGGAACACAGCATTGTATCCGGTACTACCATGACATAGTCAGGAGCATTAGCCTCTGATCGCCCACCGGACTCGACTCCCCTGTCTTCCTCGCTACCCTTGCACATCCATCCCGCCCGCTCACGCGCATCCCAAGTAACAGTAATAGCGGATATTCCCCGTTCCCCGTTCCCCGCTTCCGGCTGGGATCGCTGGGATGGATGATCCGTGCTGGTATTGGTACTGGTACTGGTACTGGCCTCGAACAACGGACGGGGGCCTGGTCGGGTCGGGTCAGGTCGGGTCCCGGGTCCATCCAGCCCTTCCCCGGGCCCAGACTTGCTCCTTCGCCAATGTGTCTCCCAACGTTTGAGGATGGTTCCGGGATGCTGTACTGTACTACTGCATACTGCATACAGGGGGCCGGGAAAAAGAAGAACTTGACAGGCAGGGAGGGAGGGGTAAAAACACTCCTTGGAAGCCTGGAAGGGACGAGTTGAGTTGACCGTAGCCGGGCAGACGAGGCTGTAGGTAGTGTCGACCAAGGTTTTTGTGGGGGGGCGGGGGGGGAGGGGGTTGGGCTACTATTTCGAGTCTTTGTTGTTGTTGTTGCTGGTGGTGGTGGTGGTTGGGTAGTGTAAGACTGGAGGGGGCCAGGGGAAGGGGTGGCTGTGCCGATTCTCCATTGGGGCCTGGGGGTTGATTCGTTTGTCTTACTGTGCTTGCGCAGTGAGATATTGGTATATTGGGATGTTCAAGGTTCTTCAGTTGGATTGAATGGATCGAATTGCGCGGGTTCTGTGGGGTATGAGACACAGCGTGATGCTAATAGGAAAGACATAGTTACCTTAGGTACAGTTGGTTTCGACGGGGCGGATTGGAGTGTTCTGAATGATCCCATGGGCGTCGGTAGTGATACTCCCGCTGGAGAGGTTGTGGCTCGGTTTCAGTCTTGGGAACTTGGCCTGCCTTGGCCTGACTTGACCGGACCGCTGGAGTAGAGACTACTAGGAGTGTAGTGTATGTGTTTGGTTTGGTTTGGTTTGACATCGGCTGGGTTGGGTTGGGTTCTGATTCAGCCACCGAGGGCTGGGCTGGGCTGGCTGCTGGTTTGCGAGACATTGGGGGTCTAGACTTTTTCTGGCTTTGTTTTGGATTCGGGGGGGGGTTGAGTCGGAGGGTGGTTGGGAGGTGGGTAGATGTAGATATTGGATTAAATTGACCTGGGGAAGTGGCACTGCTATACCTCTCGTGAGGTTAAACATTGTCTATAGTTCAACTCTTTACTATCTGACGTACAGTACTGGGTCCAAGTGGGGCGGGTCTAACCCATACCACTCCACCTTTCGAACCTCTCGATGTGGGTGGGTCATCTCTCTGCGCCCTACATCCAACATCTTTTGAGGATCTTTCCTAAATGATAGAACTCACAAGAACTCTCGGATGCATCGGAAAAGACAAATAGTCCGACCTTCCCGGCCTCATATATTCGACTATGCCCCGCATGGACCAAGTGCATCTGGGATGCCTTCGGCCTGACCACCATCAGCGTGCGCTCCGGCTCCATCTGCTCGGAAGTGCAGTCCTTTATTGAGAATGATCTAGTATCTTGCATCGAGCACAATAGCCAGGACATCTAGGACTGCCACGCGCACTTCTCCACCCCGCCCACCAACTAGTAGAAAGATGTGCGGGTCGTCTGCGGCACGCTTCGGGGCGAAGCAGAAGGCATTGGACTAGCTGTGAATTTGGGTTCTATGCGGGTCCGATCATGGCAGTGGAGACTTTGTGACAGTTTTCTAAGGTATGGGGCTGTACTGCCATGACGGACTCGGACTTCGAGTAGGCGTGGTATTTCGGTTAGCATACCTTTGAGTATGACAGCGAGACAGCGACGGAAGTGGACGAATTGTTCCACAATCTGAGATGGTGGCGGGGCTCTGAAATCGTAGCCATACGACGAGATTGTTGTTCCAGATGGCCTTTAGCGTGGTGTTAGCACTTCGACAAAGACCTCCGTTTAGCGCCTAGCAGTAGCCATCAAGAGTAAAAGCCCGCAGCTCGAGACATATAGCCAACAGACAATTCGGAGTGATCAGAGTCTCGTATGCTCGAGTATTGCCCAGGTATATTACTGGTATGGATTCTGGTATGCTGGCTGCTGCGGCTCAAAATGCAAATCTTCAGACCCATGCACGGGCGGGTCAAACTCGAACAACGGCCATTGCCAACTTTCAGTAGCAGCCAACGGTACCTGCGTATCACAATTCTGTGACTGAAAAGCATCCAGTCCAGCATCCCGCTTCAAGTTACTCAGCCACACCGGATTGTCCGCGCACGTCTGATTCCACCCATCGTCACAGCCATACACGATCATGCGCGCATGGTCCTGCAACATCTTATCCGTGGGCACGACCTTACTCTCAAGTTGACGTGTGATATACTCCGTGAGCTCTCGTTGTAACACCGGCCAGAAATTGAGGTTCTCCTGCTCCGGCAGCTGCGCCGGTTGATCGGTCTCCCAGCTTGGCTTGAGCACGGTGATGGCAGAGGCGCTGAAAGGATTTGGCGCCAGCTGCTCCTGGCCGATCAGGTACGGCGGCATGGCGTTTTCGACGAGTCGCAGCACCTCGGGTTCGAAGCCCCAATCGCCTTGCCATTCACGCATGTCGACTCCTTGCTTGTAGTGCGCCGCCAGATGATCCGCGCGGGCTGTCCAGCTGTGGAATCGAGCGTCGCAGAACCCACAGCGCGATTTGATTTCGGTAACGCTACTCTTCCACCCGCTCATGGATGCAGCGACAAACTTGACGCTGTGGACGCTGCGCAGGTGCTGGTGGAGATGATCCTTGCGGTAGAAAGTCCTTTCGAGTGGGCTCCTCTCCTGACAAATGGAGTACTCGTGAACATCCAGATGCTCCTGGTCGGGATTAGGATGTAAACAGAAGGCGCAGACATGACCGCCATCCAAGGAAACAATTGCCCCGGAGGGTGCGCACCTCCACTCGTCGAGAGGAATGTGCATTGATTTCTCGTGCCGTTGCCAGTCATACTTGGTCGAGAACGTATCCGTGCAGAATGTACACTGAAACCGCCGAGACCCGCGCGCCCGACGCGAGGCTATAGTATTGGCAGGGATGTGAAGTTTACTTCGTCGACTGTGTCGGCGACGGCGGCGGTTATGATCTTGGGATTCAGAGCGCGAGAACGAATGATAAGAATGCGCTGACGTGTTAGATAGACTCGAAGTGGACGATGCACTCGTGTCGAGGCTGCTTCCCGACGACGCCGGGAGTACGCCCCATTGCTCGACGTGAGAGGTATGGCTCGCCCAGTCGACTGAAGAAGCTGAACTGGGATTGGATGAGGTGAAGGATAGTTGAGGGTGAGGCGTAGAAGGGCGATTTGAAAGCGCCCGAGCAATATCACTGAATGCGGCCGACTCTTCCTCTGGAGGCGAGTTTTGCCAGCGTTCAAGAGGGGTCATTGACGAGGTCATTGACGATGTGGCTGCTTGGATGAGATCGGTCCGGCGTGCAGGGGCCGAATGGGCCTTCTCTTTCTCACGGCGCCTGGTGTTAGCGAGCCAATTACGTAGCTGGGTCGGCGTTAGTCCTGTTCGCAGCAGTAGCTCTCTCCTTTCCTCTTTAGATGGATAAGGATGGTCCTGATGTTGGCTCAGCCATTCCTTCAGTATACGAATCGTCTCCCGCGGGAATTTGTTGTAGTCACTGCGCTTGCGCAGTCTTCGATTGTGGTCACACATGATAGCAGCTCCTTCGCCGGCGTTAGGGTCAGCACTTGGAGCTTCTCTGTGAGTATCGCTCCACTGTTGAGATTGGGGGTACGTGTGACTGCTCTCCGGTTCTGGGACGATGCAATCTTTATAACTGCTGCTGTTTGACAACAAGTCCGGCTCTAACACAGAACAGTCTAGCAACATCTGTCTACAGGAGTCATCACATGGCTCTGTGATGCAGTTTGAATGGAGCGTGTTCTGGTTGACATCGTTGACATCGTTGACTGGACCATCGAAGATGTCGAGCGGTAGTGATGATTCCAGACCATGCACATCTGGCCAGTTCAGCACCAGATCGACCGGGGCGACAGTGAAATCGAGGTTCTCCATCAGCTTCGGGACGTCTCGTAGTAGGTATATCTCACAACCTTGACAGAAGTTGATCCCAGGAGGAGGATTCGAAGCGATAGTTAGGTGGAGTGCAAGTAAGCTGCTGACCTGACTTGGAGGGCAGCCTCGGTCGGCAAAGTGTCACCATTTGAGGCCTCAGGCATCAACGGAGGCATTCAAGGTTGGTGGATGGTATCTTCCAACAACAACAACAACAACAATCGGGGATTCCATCCTGAACGATTTGTTTGAAAAAGTCAAAAATTATGCTCGCATGGGATTTGAACAAAGTCATTTGCCACCTCAATATCCAAGTATAGTACGGAAGACCATTGTGGCCACTCGGCATATAGAATTCTCCTCACTTTTGCCGGCAGATTCCTTATCTGCCGAGTGGCCGCAATGGCCTTCCGTAGTATATGCTTTATACCAGATCTATGGTTCCGAACTTAAGGGAAGAACTTGGGCCGAACGGAAATGTCCGGGCCAGCTGCCAGTGGTTATAGAACATTCCTGTATCCAGTCTTTAATGAAGTCTATCTATGATTCTGCTGTAGGAGAAGTCCACTCCCTACCTCCTTGAGACTCAAGGAAAATTAACCACCAAGCTCTATACAACCTCCGATTCGTCCATCCATCTATAACAACTTCGGAATATGAGATTCAATCAGAATCGGTGTGGAAAATTCTATATTACCCCGAGTATTTCTTGCCCCCGCGCAACGAAGCCCCGTACTTGAAGAGTGCCCAAGGGATTGGTAGCAGAAGGAGCGACAGAAAGGCAAAGAGACTGCCCGCCCAGTGCACGCCAAGTTTCTCGTACATCTGCACGGTAAATAGGGGGAACGTCGCTCCCAATATATATCGAATAACTCCATTGGCGGCCAGTGCTAGAAGTGGAAATCAGATGAGTCCAAGGCTGTAGAGCAAGATAACGACGGGAGGAGACTTACCCGATGCTGCAGCTCCGGCTTGATAGACATCAACAAGATAGGTGATGGTTGATAGCTAAAGACAAGAAGCTTAGGTTAGTTCCACCATTCTGCATTCACACTAGATCCAGGGTTGCGGCCTGATACTTACGAAAAGAGAGAACGCTCCCACTCCAAAAGGGATCCCTGCACAGACAAGGGCAGCCCAGTGGCCGCCGGCGTGAGCTTCCCAAGAGTACCTAAGCACATTCGGAATGCAGTTAGCAAGAATGAACCACATGGATGGTGCATTCAAGTCTCAAAAGCTTTCGAGCCTTACCAAAATAGTCCCACTGGTTAAAGTACGCTGCCTGCCATAGCCGAGTAAAGGCGATGCTCAGGAGCGGCAACGCCTCCGCCAGCCACACGTGCCCTGACGTACAGAGTCTTGTCGAAAACCCCGACCATAATCGCGGCAAGAACATATCCGACGATCACGCTGATAAAGCTAAGTCCAATTTGCCGCCAGTTAAATCCATAATACACCGTCAAGACGTAGGACGAGCTGGCGAAATAGCTGAAAATCATGGCGTAGGCGAACGCTGTATACAGGGTCAATGAGAACACGATGACCTCCGTAAACAAAAGCTTCACGGGCCTTCCAAGCCCCGTAGTGATGAACTCTTGCAGGGAGGGCTTCATGGTATCCGGCTGCTGTTGCGAATCTTCCTCTTTTCCAGAGTGATTGTTGTTCTTGTTGACCTTGATCAAGATTCTCTCCTTCATAGTTTCCTGCATCAGAACCGCGCCGAGCCAGACCACCGCGCAGAGAATCGTCATGACCCATTGCGTCCATCTCCAGTCACTATCTTGATCCTTCAGAACATAAGCCCCGGCGAGTGGGCCCATCGTGGGCCCAAGGAAAGGACCTAGGATGAAGAGCAAGGATGCAGGACCCCCCTCTTTTTCCAGATCCCAGATATCAGCCAGCGTGCCCGCACCGATCGCAACGCCAGCAGACCCCAAAGCCCCCGCCAGCCCACGGCATACGAGTAGGGTTGCAAGATTGTTCGCGGCCCCGGCACCAGCACTGAATGCTAACAAACAGGACGAGGTGAAGACATAGACCGGACGGCGGCCAATAGTCTCTGATAGCGGTGCTATGAATAGAGGCCCAAAAGCCAGACCAAGTGTGTATACCGTGAGCGTAAGCATGGATACAGTTCGAGATACGTTAAATCTGATCGCTATCAGATCGAGCGCGGCTTCATTGACCGATGTTCCGAACGTGCTGTTTGCCCATGGAATCAGTTCCGTTCTCCTTTCGCTTCTTTTCTGTGGGAAGTGACAAGTGACCCGCAAACTTACATCACGAAGGCCAGAATGCAAGGCACAACCGTGTGGAATAACTTCTTCCAGATTGGCCAGTGGTGGGGGTTTCGTCTCTCGCGTGGGTCTTCCCAGGGTATCGGTTCAAAGTCTGGCTCCCGGAGAGCAGAACCCTGCAACGTTGCAAGGATATTGGGTTTGATCATTGTGTGCTATCCTTCGACACTGGCCCGACGAGGTGGGTAGGATGGTCGGGTTGAATTCAGCCTGGATGCAGGGCCTATGCCCATTTGTAGGGAGACAAGGTCTCTTGCAGGGTATGAGGCACGGCGAGTTTGACGAGTTTGACGACGTGGGACTCGGGTGAAAATGCATGCAAAGATGAATCATCGTCGTGCGCGTAGCCCCAGCCCCTTATAAAGACAAATGGCTCTCGTATCTTCTTCGAAGTGATACCCACTCATTTTGTCCTGTTGGGTAGTTGGATTGCCAAGGTCAGCTATTGTGAGAATAATCGCTTGGCCATATGCACTAACCTCGGTCTGGAATAGTAATCATAATTGAAATAAGCTTCAAGGAACCTGCTGGCCGTTGGAAGTATCAATGGAATGGGAGGAGTAGATTAGTGTTTATGTGATCATCTCCGATCGATGTGGGGGAGTTCCGCAGGGAGTTCCGCAGGGCGGATGAGCGAATCCGCCGCCAGGTACAGTAACTCTAAGGTAGTTAGTTAGTTACTCATGATGTGTCATGCCAACTTCTCTGAGTATGCTCCCTGGATCAATGAACTATGCGGATCTTGAAGGTTGCTAGAGGATCGAACAATGATAGAAAGATGAAGAGGCATTAGAGCAAGAGAGAGCAATTGCTCCTGAAAGGGTTGCCGTTTGCTTCTAAATGGGTCAGCTGTCAATGCACGCACTACCGGTAGAGAAAGGGTGGAGTAAGAAAGAAGAACAGAATGACGTAACATACTACAGTGCATCAGTTGTGAAGTTGGTTCCTTCCATACCGTGAACGGAAAGGGATTTTGAGGACCACGGAGATGATTTCCGATGATGCTGCCATCGGCTTGCCGCGAAGGTGAAAGGGACAAGCGGGTGGGTTGACAGAATTTTGGTGTCTGACATCTCTTTTGGTCAAGCGTTGGGACTCTTGTCACCTGCACTGTACTGTATGTACACTATAACAACGCTGACGGAAACCTGCATGGCAAAAAAAAGGAAGGCGAAGAAAAGGGTATAGAATCCTTAACAGACGACGGGTGAAGGTGGAAAAAGAGCCCAAAAACCAGGAAGAAACAAGAAAAAACGAAAACGAAAAAGAAAAAGAAAAAGAAAAAGAAAAAGAAAAGCAAAAAACAAAAGAAAGACCACGAAGGGAGAACGATAATGCTATCCATGACCTATAATTCGTTGAATTGTTAGGCTGTTGAACTGATCATACAAAAATTGGCAACCAACGACAACTTATTATTACAGAGTGCTAAGCTAAGCCTGCTTCCCGGTAAGTCAATTTGTAGTAACTGGAGGTTAACTTACTTTCCGCACTGCAGGTGCAGTGGCATGCCCGCTAACTTACTGTTCCTCCTCTTCCTCCCTCCGCTTCTCCCTCCGCTTCTCCCTCCGCTTGCTTTGAGAGTGAATCCATCTCTCTCAATTTGGAATGACCTCCTTTACCTTTACGTCACAACTCTCATCCATGATTTATTCATCCATACCCTGATTCAGCCACCACAAATAACTCCCTTCTTTGACTTTCACCTGTTTTTGGTGACCGGCGAATTGGCGACCCCCACCACAAGCAGCCCTCATGGCTTGCCGGAAAGACATGTCCGCCAGCATACGAGCAAAAATCAATTGTGTCTCGTCTCACAAGAGCTGGGTGTTCTATCACCTTCCAGACGACTTCGTAGCTCGGAGCTCGATACTTGCGGCTCAGACGCGTTTAGCCATGTTTCAACCAGCCTTGTTACACACTGTTGATTCAAGGAAGAAATGGCTACGGCATCGTCATACTTGTCCCAGCCAATGCTGCCGGCCGGGTGTCACCCTTCGAAGGGAAAGCTTTGCTGAAGGCTGGCTTGCTACTAGCACCACAATCGATGGCTGAAGGGTTACATGCAGCCAGAAAAAGGAACAAGGATTTTAATGGAATTGGTGGCCTGAAGCTTGTTGCTGAGTGTCGGGCGGCGCCGGTCATGACGAGGTCCAGTCGCGGGTGAGACACTGGTGTCGACCTATGCTTGTCTCGCTTTCCATTGCTTCTGGGCACCAGACCTGGCCCGGAAATGACTGCTCGAGACCGTTTGAAGTCGTCACAATATGCCCGCTCCCGCGGCCACTCACCGCAAACCCAAGTCGAGTCTCTCTGATACTCCAATCCTCAGCCAGCCAATGGGATTGGAAAAGAACAGCATCCCAATCTAGCCAACCGTTGATTATTGTTGAAAGAAAAGTTCATTGAGTTTGGTGCATGTTTCTGGCTGAAACGGTTGTCGGTGAACTGTGTGCACAACCAATGGCGTTTATTCCAGCCATATTCCTCAACGAACGCATCAAGTCAATGGAACAAAGTCAGCTTGATATCCATTCCCTTCGCGCTGTTGAAGGAAGTGCCATTTCTGCTCTTCTGCTCTGTGGGATTCTCCGGCTTAAAATCTCCCACAAAGTCCCCTAGACTGCAATCTTTCCTTCCTCCATCCTCTTTCATTTCCAATTCCCACTTCAAGCCCCTCTTGAACATCTTCATGCTGCCCATAAGTGCTTTGCTTAACCCTGAGCCTGAGCCAAGTCGGACACCTTCCTCCAGTATGGCACCACTCAACCAAGCCAGCACCGTGGAGACCGTCGTCCCCAAGACAGCCTCAGCCCAGTGCAAGATGATCAGCGACGCTCCTGAATTGAGATCAGGGCCCCCCCGGGGCCCGATCAACTACCCCCCTTGCGAGTACCATGACGCGGAGCTCTCCGAGATCTACGAAAAGCATGATATCCGCTTTACCTCCCGTACGCGCCACATTCCGTACAACCCCGCGAGGAGTGACTTCTACGAGCGAACGGGACGGAAAGAAATTGATAGTAAGTTGAGCTCTTTTAGTGTAGCCCCATGAGTAAGATGCTGACTATGGACAGTCTTCGGGTATGAGTTCAAGGTCCCTGGCGAGGACCAGACGATTCTCATCATATGGGACTACACCACTGGGCTCGTTCGCACGACGGGCATTTTCAAGTGCTACAAGCCCTGGGGCAAGGTACAAACACCCTCTTCCTATTCTTGTCTACATGCTAACCTTGAGATGGGATAGACTCTTCCGGCGAAAGTGCTCAACAAGAACCTTGGCCTCAAGAAGGTCTGCCACAAGCTCACGGGCGGAGTGATTGAGTCACAAGGTAATGGATTGTGCTATGCTATTGGAAGACCACCGGCTAATCAATGTTGGGGATCAAAGGATACTACATGCCATTTGGATGTGCCAAAGCCATAGCCAAGAAGTTCTGCTGGCATGTGCGGTACGCCTTCACTCCGATTTTTGGGCCTGACTTCCCCGGCCAATGTCTGCCGCCGGATCATCCCGAATATCGCCAGTGGGAGATTGACCAGCATATCATTCGCGCGGCCGCGGAGGAAGCAAGGGCGCAGCGCTGCGCCGCACTTGCCTACGCCCGGCCCTATCCCAGTCCCAGTCCAGATGATGGTGATGATGGTGATGATGGTGATGATGATGATACAAGGTACGCGAAGCACACCCTCCTCTAATTTCTTCGAGTCTAGCATTCCTTTCCAGTTGTCATACTCACTTAGATGTTACATAGTTTGGCCGGATACATCTCATCGAACGATGATGACAACTGCCCGCCGACTACTGCTAGCAATGGCTGGACACCGATCAATACCCCGCGAATGCAGTTGACTCCTCCGCCCTCTCCATCAAGCCAGGATCATTCATCTCCTCAAGGGACCAGCGGTTGGGTTTCTATTTCCCCCACAGCCCTAGCAGAGGCATTGTCCGACGCCCCCGATGCCATGGATGAAGATCCCGATGACACCGAGGTGGAAATGGCCGACAACGCTGGTGATGACCAGCGAGTTACGCTCCCACTGACAGGCGAGTACACGGAGGCAGAAGTCGAGGCTGCGTATATCATGGTGGGAATGAGCAAAGGAGGCCCAATCGACGATAACTATCCCAAAGTCTGTCCGAGATGCCGCGCGGTTATCTATATGCAGGAGCTCAGGGAAGCCACCGCTCGTCGGGATGGCTGGCAGGAGAACTGAAATGACCGCTACTGCCGCATGGTCTGGTCTGCCTTGATGACTCTCTCTTCCATGTTTGTTTGCATGTTTTCTTTGTTTTGATTGCATGGCGAGGGCGTTGGACTTGGGCAATTTATCAGAATGTTGTATTGCTTTCCTTTGCTGGGTTCTCTTGCTCTGGGAGTTTTGCTCATTTTGGTTTATTTTTTTTTCTTCGGCGGGCTTTGCTTTTTTTCTATTTGGAAAATGGAAACGCCACAAAAAAAGGGGGGGGGGAAGCCACTTGGGAGGAACATAATGAGGGGCAATGGCCAACCAGGGCGATAAATAGATTTCCTATTAGGTAGTTAGTTAAATTTCCGCGCGTGATCAGAGGAGACAATAAAGAGGGGGTGAGAAAAGACATTCCAAGTCCAAGTAAGCTTACTCAAAAAGTAGGATCGATTAGATTCTAGTGTGACATTACACGACAGGCTGGCTTACATGGGGAGATAAGCTAAGTCTTTCCCTCGGGATGGACTCTCAATCAGTCAGGTCAGATATCAAGTTCCGCCTCCCCTAGGGTGTCTATCTAGTTGTATGAGATGCCAGAGAACGCCTACCTTCTTTACTGTTCGCCTCTAAGTCAGGCTTCTCAGAATTATGGTGGACTGCTACTTCCCCAAGTTTGAGCACGCAATCGCAACAGACAACAGGAGGCTTATGTTACTAAAGAGTGTGGATGCATGCATGCATGCGTCCCAAGAATCCCATCCCAGCTGATTCCCCTTGCGGCACTGACCGTTTGGGCCTTTCTACTGCCGCACTCCCACCATTGCAGATTCAGTAAAAGCGTAGGCAGTAAACGAATCGGGAATGGTCCGTCCCTCCAGACCGATCCTGAACCCTGTGGTCTACGACAGCGCGCTAGAGTCCCAGTTTAAGCATAATCAGGCATGCCGTTCTGCCCCTCCCCCCTCCCCCCCTCCATGAAGCAGAAGGCACAAGGCACAAGGCAAAAGACGAAAGACAAGCACTGCACCCAGGTATCTGGACCTGCCCCCATCCCCTTGCAGCTACCCCTCCACCCTTCACCCTCCACACAAGTACTGTACCTTACCCACTATGTAGAGTGCATCCCACCGTGGACTACACCTAGCAATGACCTCTCCCTGCGCTTCAGCATCCAGCATCCAGCATCCACAATCCATCCCCACGACTCGAAGCCCTTCCCCCCCCACCAAACCCACCAAACCCACCAAACGAAACCCGCGAATTCTTTCATCCCCATTCCCACGGATGACCAGGCACCTAGGTACGATGACGAAATGCCACTGCGGGCATCATCTGCCGCGTCCCGACCTCCTTCGACTCCCAGACCACCTGATTGGATAAGAGTAGCACGAATGCCGGAAACTGCCTCGCAGACGTCCCGGCCAATCCGAGGCCGTCAGCTTGTTCTGTCCAGCAGAAGTCCCCCACCTTAGTCCATCATGTCCACACCCATGCCCTGCATCCACGAAAGCTCGGCCTGGCGTGTCGGTTCCAAAGGAGGTCGATGGTCTATCGTCATCGGGAATCGGGATCGAGGGTTATGCCTTGGGCGCCCGGAGATATCCACTGCATCCTGCTGTTTTAGCCATTTGCTGCTAGTGTGAGGGTTAGCTCGCTGGGATTGGGCTTTTGTCAGCGTTGACCTGATCTTGATCTTGACCTTGTGGGCTGTTGGACTGTTTGGAGGTGGAGGGGGGTGGGATGGAATGTACGTAGTCTGTTGCTTCCGGATAATAATGAGTTTATTTTAAGGTTAAATAGCTGTACCTAGGTGGGTAGGGGTCGTTTTCGGATGAGTGGCGGCATGGCTTACTGGATTGTGGTTTAGGTGGGTGACTTATCTGATAGTACTAGGCCTGAGTGGGTTAATGGTGGTGGTGGTGGTGGTGGTGGTGGTGGTGGTGCAGTCGCTTTATCTGATAGTCACGTACTGTACTGTTCCATTGCATGCAGTTGAGGACACACTGCTCTTGATTGGGTTTAGCTGTTGGGAGGGGTGAGTCCAGTTGAATTTTGGGTCATCCTTTTGGGGGAAATTGAAAACAAAAAAAAAAACAAAAAAAACAGGAACAGACAGTGAAGAAAAAGGAGAAAAGACAAGAAAAGGAAGACATAGTGCTTCCATTTGGATTTGTTGAAATTGTTGAATTATCGAAGAGGAATAATACCCATCTGCCCCCTCCCCTCCAATATCCACCTATTTTACTCACCGGCATGGACGAGAGAGCTAAAAGTGAGGTCAAGGTAGGTTCAGGTTGAGTCTTGCACACACACTAGCGGTCCCCCTCCATCATGCATTCATCCCCTCCACTGTCTTCCGCTGTAGCTGAGCCCCATTTGGCCCCTTGTGCACACCACACCAGTATATGCTATATGCTATATGCTATATGCTATATGTTCTGCCTGCAGTGCTGATGTAGTACCAGACTCCCCGAGACGCAAACCTGACTGGCTGACTGGCTGACCGACCGACCGACCGCCAACCCCATCCACTAACCTTCAAGCTTGGACTTGTACATCGACCATGCCAAGATCCACCGGAATCCTCTCCCTCCACCCCGGGCGTCCTTCCCTTCCCGAACCCAGGCTCCCCAACCCACTATAAAAGCCCCCCATTGGTACGTAGCTCCGCTGTCTACAGCAGTAAGTCCAACACCTGTAGAGCAACTGATTTTGCCACCCTGTCTACGGTCGAACAAGCTTGTCTCGGTCCAACTCGGATTTGGCCAAACCTAGATTTTGGTAACTTGCGCGGATGATCGTCCCTTCTGGGCTTGTGTTTGTTTGTTGTCGGATGAGGTTGACAGAAATAGGACAGAACTTGAAATTTAGTTGCCTTGTGACGCTGCGGGGTTGGTCGTCCTTTGGGGGGGGTTGTTTTTGGTCTGTTGGGATTTGGGGGGGGGGATTAGTGCTTCGTGCTGTTCATGTGCTTAGAAATTAGTTGGTTCTCGCTGGTCCCTTCGACTTTCTTAAGAAGTCAGACCTAACATCTTACCATGTCCATGATCACTGTATTCGATCTGTCTATATTCGAATCCCTTCTAATTACATTATGCCATCTATCCAGATGTGTACTGTACCGATCTATCAATCTAAGTATCTAACCGATATATCACTTTCGATGTATCCTCCAAAGTCAAACCACCTCTGCCCCAAAAGGACCGCGCAGCGAACGAGCCAGGCGCAGGCGACAAGAAGCGGCGCGAAGGACCTCATGCCTCCAGAGGCATGGAAAAGGCCCAGGAAGAAGCAAACGCAGATCGAGGACCGCCCCTCAGCCAACCATACCCGACCAAACCCACCAATCCCCAACCATCCACGCCCCCAGATTACTGCACCAATGCAGCTTCTCCTCTCAACAAAACCTCCACACCCTTTTAATGTAACCTAAACCGCAAACCGACTCCACCCACGGATCTTGACCCCCCACCGGTAAAACCCATACGGCACGGGGACCATCAGCGCACTGATCGCCCCCAGGATCGTCAGCGTCCAATGCACCCCCATGTTCTGGTAGAACGGCACGCCCACCACCGTCATCCCGCCGGCGGCGCAGTAGCGCGAGACGGTCATGAAGCCCAGCGCCGACGCGGCGTAGATGTCGTACGCGTCGATGACGTACATGTACGACGAGATGAAGACCGTGATGGTGCCGAAGCCGAACACGGCCGAGGCCACGATCGGCGACCACACCGACACGCTGGAGTACGAGGTCCACCCCATCCAGAACAGGCTGACGGGAATGAACGGGCTGCCAATCATGGCGAACCAGAGCCGGTTCTCGGGGCGCGGGGCGTGGTGGTGGTGAGGCTTTTCATCAGGGATGGGTTGGGGCTGTTGCTGTTGCTGCTGCTCGTGCGGGTTGTTCGGGTTGGGGTCGATGGGTTCGTCGTTGTCAGATGATGAGGATGACGAAGGCGCAAGAGCGGCTTGTTTGAACTCTCGCTTCGTCCAGCGGTAGATCAGTGGCACAAATAAACCCGCGAGGCAGATCCCCACGTACATCGCGACCCAGACGATGTTGGTGAGGCCCTGTGAGAGGCCGTGGATGTCGGAGAAGATGTAGGTGTAGCCGTCGAAGAAGGTGAACAGCACGATGTAGATCACGGTCATGTAGAGGGAAATCAACAGAATGATGGGCTCGTGGATGGTGAGACTGAATTGTCGGATGCATGCGTTGCTGATTCTGGACAGGAGCGCGGTCTTCTGGAGATCCATGGAGGACTTGTAGCGCGGATCGCCCGTGAGGTTCCGGAGATGACGCGCCTTCCATTTGAGTAGCATGGGGCCATACGTTTCCGGCTGCAACAGAAGGATTAATGCAAAGATGAACCCGGAGAGAATCAGGATGATCCAGTTGGTCCACCGCCAGGAGAGCGTGCCCTCGCCCATGTACGAGGCAACCACCGGACCGAGCACAGGCCCGCCAAACGACAAGATCGCATAGAGAGGGAAGGTGAGTGTCTTTTCCAACGGATTCCACAGATCAGCGATGGTCCCTCCGGCGCAAGTCAACGGAGGACAGCCGAACACGCCAGCCAGAAACCGAAACACGATCTGCGCCCCGATATTCGGCGCCAACCCAGAGGCCATGATGAAAATCATGAACAGGGTGAGAGACCCCGTGTACACGGCATTGCGGCCAACGACCTCGGACAGAGGACCAGACACCATGGAGCCAGCGGCGAACCCAAGCAGGTACATGCCCGTTGCCAGAGAGGCAACGACATCACTGACATGGAACGCAGCGGCGTTTTGAGGCATGACCCCTGACTCAATTGACGACGCACATCCCACAGCGAACGCCAGCGCAGTCACGAGCAGGGTCGCCGAGATCCGCGCGGCGAGGCTGTAGTTGCGTGGATTGATGGGGTCATGGTCGTGTTCCCATTCGACGAGGAGAATGGAGGAGGTGGTTCCATCGTCGTCGACAATCTCCTTCAGCTGCACGCCAGGCAATTGACTGTACGGTGGGTGCCGCTGGGTGTCGTTGCTCGTGACATCGCCGCCGGTTAAATCATCGGTCTTTTCTGCTCGGGAAAAGCCCGGATACTCTTCTTCGAGCTGCCTGCGCACGGCGTGGCCGATGCGT